GTTCCCAACTCTGCATAGCTGGATCTTGGAGGAACTGGCATTACTGGGAATAAATTCCTGTTGGTAGCTCTTTAGGACGTCCTGGAACGGCTGACCCATTTCTGGGCTTCGAGGCGTAGATTGGACCCCTTGCACTGCAGTGTTGATATTGACAAGACTGAAAATACATGGGACTGAGAAGCATACACAGGGCCTGCTGGAGGGGGTGGGGAGAGAACCAGAATCTCTCCAGGGTGGAGAAAGCCTTTCTCCCTGTGAATGACCGAAACTGGTATGGGAAGGCAATAATCTCAAGGTATGATGCTCCTCATCCGATGGAAACGCTCTGGAGGATGGGAGGCCATTGTTCCATCTTGGTCCACGTCCTGCCCCAGAGGTGCAAGAAGCTGCAAGAGGGTTGAGAAAATTGTGATCGGACCACGGGTGGGGAAATGTTATCCTCCCTCCCCAGGAGTGACAGGCTGTCCAAATTCCAAAGAGGGGAGGGGTAAAAAAAAACATTAAAAGGGGCAGTGGGAAAAAAAGTGTGGAAGTTCAGCGTTGGCTGCAGGCAGGGGGAAGAAAGCTGTTTTGCAGAAAAGGGTCTGCGGGGTGAGGGGGAGGAGACCCCCCCACGCCTCTCTCCACTGGAGAAGGGCAGTGGTGGGTGGCGTGCCTGCCCGCCCTCGGAGAGGATTCTCATCCTGGGGCATCCACAGGCCATCCAAGGTCACAAGAGGCTTTAAAGGTTCTCAGGTTTTAAAGAGCAAGAGGAACCGACAATGGGGAGACGAGGCAGGGGGTGGGGAGGGAAGGTGCGTGCCTTTCCAAAATGGTTTTCTAATTTTAAACAAGCCGCTGCCGTGACCTGTGAAGACAGCTCTGGACAGAGAGGGGAACGGTTACGGAGGAGTTTATAAATAGTCAGGCTGGCACCGGGCGTAAATAAGAAAGCGGGGGGAAATGGACGCCGTGTCCTCAGAGAGTGTGAACAAGATGTTGCAAACACGAGGTGGAGAGGGGCGGACAAGTGAGGTCAGGCGGCCGAAATCTCAAGATAAGGGTTTGGTATTTCTTTAAAGGTAAAGGTTCCCCTTGACATTTTCAGTCCAGTCGTGTCCGACTCTAGGGAGCGGCGCTCATCCCGTTTTTCAAGCCGTAGAGCCAGCGCTTGTCCGAGGACAGTTTCCATTGCCACGTGGCCAGAGTGATTAGGGAACGCCGTTTTACCTTCCCATTGAGGTGGTACCTATTTATCTACTCGCATTTGCATGCTTTCAAACTGCTAGGTTGGTGAGGAGCTGGGACAAAGCGACGGGAGCTCACTCTGTCACGTGCATTCGATCTTACGACTGCTGGTCTTCTGACCCTGCAGCACAGAGGCTTCTGCGGTTTAGCCCACAGTGCCACCACGTCCCTGGCTTTACACAGGTAAAAACGACAGCCAGGCCAACCATCTACAGCAGTTGTCCTCAACCTTGGGGCCTCCAGATGTTCTTGGACTTGAGCCACCAGAAATCCTGGCCAGCAGAGATAGTGGTGAAGGCTTCTGGGAGTTGTAGTCTAAGAACATCTGGAGGCCCAAGGTTGGGGACCATTGGTCTACAGGTATAAGTAATAGCCTCCCCCACCCTCCCGGTCCAAAACACAAATTATTTCTGTACGTGAACTTGGAGTGGAACAGCAATGGAGGTCCTCAGGCGGCCTGAGCAGCACAGAGAGAGGTGGACGTTCTTATCAGAAGGATGCTTGGCTGGGACAAATCACTCATGGAGTCCAAGACCCGAGTCCATCGTCTTTCTCCTGTCTATCCCAATCTGAATGAATCATCAAGACCCCGAGTCCTGGAGAACAGGGCTCAGAAGGGACCGTTCATCCGCGGGGAGCAAGAGCTGAGACGAGGCTGACCAACGGGTGCAGAGTTCCACCTCAGCCACTGTTTTCTCCATTCGGGTAAGAGCGACTGCAAGTCTTAAGCCCATGTCTCGTGCTGCATCTGCAGCTGTCCATTAAGACCTGCCATTTCGTTCCACCAGTTTATGCCCCCTCGAACCCTCTTCTCAAGGGATGCTTACATAGCTGCCCTCTGCCCTGCTCACCTGCCCTCTGGTGCTACCTGGGCCTTACCCACCTTGGAGAGCAAAACCAATAAAACCAGGGCATGAGGCTGCTGGGCCAGCAGGAGAGTCTTCTGCCCCTTGGGGCATTTCTGTGCCCACCTGTTCTTCCCCCTCCCGGCCTCTTTGCCTCAAACACACCTTTCAGGTGAAACCTGGCAGTGACTCCGAGGAGAAACCTAGAGAAGACGAAGGCAGGCTGAGGAGGGAACGAGGGAACCTGGAGGAAGCCAGCAGCACAGCAGATTTTGCCGGGAGCTTCATTTGGAGTGGGCTGTCACGCCATCCATCATCCTCCCCCAGCAGAGAATGAGAGTCAAATCATCAAGGGAACATCTGTTGGCTGCCCCAGGCGCTGGACAGCCACCAAAGGTTGCTGTGGGCAATTGCTTGCTAGCTGGGGAATATGGAGGGGTTTTTTTGGGGGAAGACCCCTACCTCCCTGGAATTCAAGGCCTCCGGGCAAGGGCAGCCTTCTCCCATGGTCCCTCTTGTTAAATCGCGTCCAGGCTTCTTAATCCAGGTGTGCACAGAGACTGGAACCTTAGCAACCCAAATTAAAGGCTCAGCACATTTCACCGGCTGTGACTCAGAAATCTCATCTCTTGATGCAAATGAGAGGTGAGGCGTTGTTGTTTTTTCTAACCTCCTAAATTATCAGCATGTTCACTGCTGATAGAAAGCAGAGTGTCGAAAGAGCCAACAGCATAGGATATACTTGTGGCCTGACCGTTCCCCACAAACCCCTCCTTCTGGTCTTGGTTCCCTCAAAAATCCTCTCCTGGGAGTTTTTACGTTGCCCTCCCTGAGGCAATATTTCCCAGATGTGTGCAAACCCCGCCATCTAACCAGCTGGGGATCATGGGGTCTGTAGTCCATCCTATCGAGAAAGCAGCAAGCGGGGAAGTCTGGCTTTAAAGCAGTGGTTCCCAACCTTGGGCCTCCAGATGTTCTTGGACTACAACTCCCAGAAGCCTTCACCACCACCTTTGCTGGCCAGGATTTCTGGAAATTGAAGTCCAAGAACATCTGGAGGCTCAAGGTTGAGGACCACTGCTTTAAAGGACGGCATCTAACCATCTGCACCATCTAAGCTTTGCCATAGAATAGTGAAGTTGGAAGCGGCCCATAAGGCCATCTAGTTCAAACCCCCTGCTCAAAGCAGGAATACAAAGCAAAGGATATCTGCCAGGGGGTTGTCAAAGTTTACTTTTATTGAACGTATACCCCGCCCCTCTAGACAAAGTCTACTCGTTTCTCCTGAATGCCTCCAGTGTTGGAGTGCTCACCGTCTCTCGAGATAATTGGTTCCATTGTCTTACTGCTCTAACTGTTGGGAAGTTTTTCTTGGCATTCAATCGGAATCTGGTTTCCTGTAACTTGAGCCCATTGTTATGTGTCCTGCACTCTGGGATGATCAGATCCTGCCCCTCCTCTGTGTGACAGCCTTTCAAGTTATCGTATCACCCCTCAGTCTTCTTTTCTCAAGGCCAAACATACCCAATTCTTTCAGTCTTTGCCACGGATTTGAGTCACCCAGTTTTTCACCTTAATCTCAGCTTCCGGCGAGATCGACATTAGTCACCCCACGTCTAAACACCACAGATTATTTGGGAAAGAATTGGCAGAAAACTTGAAAAATTCTTGCCACAATGTTTTTGAGTAAACCCATCCCTGCTTGTCCACATGGATCTGTCCATAGAGGGAATTCAAAAGCAGCCACCTCAGCTGTCACTTCCTGGGGTCCCTATCCGGAGGTGGTGATTGCTCAGTGCTTTGTACCCAACAAATCCTCAAAGGTGTAATTACAACAACTACTATTATTACTACTGATTTTGTGATGCAAAATGAAAGGGGGGAGCCCCTCTATGCCACACTCTGGTATTTCTTCACAAACTGGCCTGGCCGCTCTGGAACAAGCCACTCAAATCCCATACAGTTACCTCACATGACAACAGCAACAGGAGGGGGTTTTCTTTTCGAGAGGATCCCAAACTGAGACACTGAAACCGTACAGATTCGATGGGGTGGGAGAGAGGGGTCCTCTAAGTAGCCAAACTCAAAATTCTTGCCTCACTCATGACCCAAGAGGGAGAGGAAGAGTCCTCGCTAGTCAACAAATCAACAAAGCCGCAAACTATATCCAGGGGCGCAGAAACATTAGAAAATGAAAAGATGTCCTGAAACTCTGTCCTTTAATTACCATTGGAAACCTTGAGGGGGTGTGGAAGCTAAGCTTGGTCCAAAGAGACCATCCATCCATCCATCCATCAACCCATCCATCTTCCTTCCTGATCCATCCATCCATCCATCCATCCATCCATCCATCCATCCATCCATCCATCCATCCATCCATCCATCCATCCATCCATCCATCCATCCATCCATCCATCCATCCATCCATCCATCCATCCATATTTTGTGAAAATCTGCATCAAAAAACTGGGAGCAAAAAAAGAGGGACCCCATCCATCCATCCATCCATCCATCACCCCTCACCTTCTTGTTCTTCTTGGCCCAAACGGCTCAGGCCCATCTCCACAGCTCTCACTTCAAAACACCGCACAGAGACACAGTCCATCCATCACTCCTCACCTTGTTCTTCTTGGCCCAAACAGCTCAGGCCCATCTCCACAGTTCTCACTTCAAAACACCGCACAGAGACACAAGGAACACAAAATGCTTCTCTCATCTGATTACTCAAAACATTGGTGCTCACAACAAGGAACTCAACAAGAATGGGAGCACACTTTTCATTCCCAACCCTCATGGGCAGGTGGAGAAGGACAACATAGATGACAACCATAAGGAACAAAATTTCTTCCCAACCCATGATGGGCAGGTTCCTCTCCAAATCCCGATCACCATACTCGGCATAAAGTAGAAAAAGCCATGTTGCCTTACCTGAAGAAGCCAGTAGCACCTCCTGTGGAAAGTGGGGATGATGGAGGAGTGAACGTAGCAGCCATAGAGGCACTGTGGATGAAGAGGAAAGAGAGACATTGTTCAGCGTTAGAGTCAGAAGAGAGGCATCCAAGAGTTTGCTTTGGCAGTCTAGAGAGAGGCTCCTGTCCTTTTTCAGCTGCTGACTCACAAGCCCCGTTGATGTGAAAAACCATGCAGGATCATTGCAAACAGGTTTTTTTTCTGTTAAACATAAAAAAAGAAGCCTAAATCCAACTGCTAGTTCTAACTAGTTGGAATGAACCGAGTTGGTTCATTGAATTGACTGCAAAATGGTGAGTCAATATGGATGTAAATGCCAACAAACTATTGGGTCTCCTCTACCTGGGATTAGAGATGGACACCAACCAACCAACCAACCAACCAACCAACCAACCAACCAACCAACCAACCAACCAACCAACCAACCAACCAACCAACCAACCAACCAACCAACCAACCAACCAACCAACCAACCAACCAACCAATAAAAGAACCAGGAAATTCATAAAAAATAAATTGCTAGTTCCTTGGCTCAGGTTTGCTAAAAGCGACAAACCAAAACGAACTGAACCAATGAACTTTTAAAAAGCAATTTTACTGGTTTGTTTAGTTCATTTGCCCATATTCTCCCTCCTCGCCCCCGACAGCCCGTATTCTCTCCCCCCACCCTGCCAATCAGAAGCCCATGGGAGGGACCTAGAGACAGCTGGATCGGCAGGTCAAGCAGCCAATCACGCGGTTCAAAGGGCTCTCGGGGAGTTGCTTGTTGTTATTTATAAGACTGATCCACAGGAGCCATTTTCAGGAACCCTTCTACCTCCAAACCAGGTTAGCTCAGATCTCCAGCAGCACCTTGCTTCCATCCTCGGGCAGCCTGCCTGTCTTCCCTCCATGCTGCTGACTGCACAACAACCTCTGTACCCTAGCTCAGACCTCCAGCATGGCACAGTCCATGGGGTTTGGGGAATGGTCATTGACCCTCCCCAGTTCACCTCCTGATGAGCAACACCCTGTGACAGGTTCCTTTGCCATGAACCACTGCGGGAATTTCACCCAAGACAGCTGCTCAACGACCCTTTCCTGGTGGGGGACACCTGCTTTGAGGGTGTATAACTTGAACATCCGAAATCCAAAGAATTTCACCCAAGCCAGCTGCTCAAGGACCCTTTCCTGGTGGGGGACACCGGCTTTGAGGGTGTATAACTTGAACATCCAAAATCCAAACTTCACCAAACTTGGAGGGGGTGTGGAGGAGGGTGAGGGGAAGCTTCTCTGTGATTTTGGTGTCTCTGGGTAGCTGGGAGGGGGCTGTTCTAGCAATAAGCAGGCAAGAAGGAGTGGGTTTTAGTTCCATCCAGTGCTGTGAGATTTGCCGTGCCAGAGCTCAGTGGAGCCAGGAAGGGGGCAACACAGCAGCTCACAAGGAAGGAGTGGGGTGGCCTATCCCCACCTCTTTCCCACAGTCCTTGATGCCTGCTGGCCAGCGGCACCTTGGTGCCTCCAGATCAAAATGGAAGAGAACTGATCTATGACTTTTGACTACCATCTGTCAGTAGCTGGTTAGAAGGATGAGGAAAAGGAAAGAGGCACTGGCAAGGCTCTTAGTCTTCAAAGCCAGAGTGAGGACCAAGGGAGAGGGTGTCGCTCTTTACGGATGCTAGTGTGGCGATCTGAAGCCTTGGATGGGTTGCTTGTGTCTTTTTAACCAATCACTCGGCTCCTCGGCACTTGCCTCTCTGCATGCGTGTTTGTTTCTGTATATATGCGCATTCTTGTTTTTGCAAATAGAAATAACAATAGACGTTTCTACAGGGACATTTTGGAAACCCTGGCAATTTAAACCAAACAAACAAACAAAAAACCTCCTTCTCTCTTGGTCTTGCACTGGCGATCAAACCTCTCAGGGATGTCAGCCATTCTGGAGCCGCGTTGCCCCGGTGTGTGTTGAGTCTGATGGTTTCCTTCTAAACCACCACTGGTCCAAGAAGGCCACCCACAAAGGTTTAGCGAACAAACAATGTCATAAAAGCAACATCCAGACCAGTGAAAACAGCAAAAACCCCAACTGTCTTTGCAAACAAAACACACAAAAAGCAGACGCATCCTTTCCCTTGTGTAGGAAGTCTGATTCCTTCCCTCCAACTGAGGCCCAAAGGGAGCATGTGGGAAAAAAAACAACCCTCCACCCGCCCTGAGAATCTTCAAGTATGAACCTTGGTTGACCTTCTGCTGGTGTTGCTCTCTCTCTCTCTGTGTGTGTTTCTGTGTTTGTGTGTATGTGTGTATGTGCAGAACAGCCTGCTGGTCCCTGGCAGTCCTAAGCACCACCTTCCTCCCTTGCAGGCACATGTGCAGAACAGCCTGCTGGTTCCTGGCAGTTCTAAGCACCACCTTCCTCCCTTGCAGGCACACACACATTTCGAGCAGCAAGAAACGCCCCTTCGATCTGCCCTGGTTCCAAGCCTCAGATGGATTTTCTTGAGGGGAAAACGAGAAAAGCGCAAAGTGCTGTAATTGTTTTTTAGCCCTGCCGTTTATTGTGCTTTATTGGTTATTACGAACGGCCCCTGGACGTTCTGAACCAAAGGTTTGTGTATAGGAACGTACATTCATAAACAGATCCGCAACCCTCCGTTCCTCCCTTGGGGACCCCAGGGGGGGTGTCTTTGGCCTCTCATCTTCCTCACCTAACTGGGGAAGCGCTGGAGGAAAAGGCCTGTGCGTTACGTGGCCCAGGTCTCCGTGGAAGAGTGCCACGTCTTCTACCCCTTCCTGCTGGTGTCTGGTCAGGCCCATGGGTCTAGGAAGAAAGGGAGGACTTGAGCCAACGTGGCCAAGGCATACAATGCCCGGCACTCTGAAGCAGGGGCAAGCAGGGTTGGGGTAAAAAGTGCTCCAGTGGGCTTATCTTGTTCCGGATGGCACGTGTCTTGGGGATGGCGTCAACTTTCAGTTGCCGTCTGGGGCAAAGGACAAGGCAGTGCCTCTGAGCCACTCTAGGTAAGCAAGGAAACCGAGCTGCCCGTTGGCACTTCTTTCAACACCTACAAAGGGGATCAGGTCCTTCACCACAGCTGGGGGCAGCAGGCTGACTTACAGGGTGCAGGAGGGGCTGAAAGGCACACACAGCTCCGTCCTCTGAATGAGAGAGGAGTGGGCAACGGATGGGTGTCTCACATTGAGCAGCAGGGTTGTGTGTGTTGCCTCCCCTGTATTTGCCCCCAAGGTCTCTTCACACTGCCCGACTGTTGGGCCGGGCCGGGCCCTGGAAACTGCACCTAGTGACCTGGTGTCTCTGGTCAGGAGACTCCACAACCCTCCACCAGTGCTGCTGTCCAGGCCCAGAGGTGGGTTTGGTAGAAAAGAGGGTGGGGGCTCATCAGGGTTCCTCCTGGTGCAAAGGCGATGGGGTTCCCTCTTGGCTTTGCAAGGGGGCTTCTCCTGCATGAAGACCCGCTGAGGGTTTAGGAAGAGATGCCTGGCAGGGATGGGTCAGAGAAGTCAGCAAAATCCCATGGGAGGTGGGGATCTAAGACTCCAAGGGAAAGAACTGGGAAGGAAGGAAGGAAGGAAGGAAGGAAGGA